GTAAGATCTTCTTTAACAAAGAAATGAGAATTATTGCAATGCACGGAAAAAAAATTAACATAAATCACACTGAAAGTGCATTAAGGACGATTGAGTCTCGCCATCAACTATCGAAGGGCACAAACTTGATTATCTCCGCTTTACAAGAAATCAAATTCATCCAAAGATAAGAAATTGATTTATCAGCGAAGGAAGTCAATCAGCAGAAAATGCCGGGAATGCGATAAACAGTCTATAGATTCAGTTCAGATTCAGTTCTTCGCAGATTTGCTTCCTTAAAATTATAGTGAAGACTCGTTTATGCCATGCACTGTAAAGCTTTCTCGTGTTTGATTTTATACCAGGAAAATATAAATATTCTGAATACTTGAGCATAGACGCAGTCAATAGAGAATCTGGTTCATTTTGCATTCTAAATAATTCTATTGAATAGCATTAGAATCAATTGCAACCTATATATTTACTTAACAAATCATTTATTCCCTCTTCTAGATTTTTGGAACGAGCCATTTCCATGCCAAGTTCACTTACATCCACATTGAAATGCAATCATTTCCCAATATAAAATAGCTCATCAAGCAAAACTATGAGTACCGGGTATCTGGTCGTAAAACCATCTTTCCTGCGAGTGTTGGCTTTTTAGTTACAATCCCAGCCACCGCCGTCTTACAACTTTGCATCATTCTTTTTCATTTCGCATGAGTACATAGATGAATGAAATGAATGGATTGTTGTGCCGGCTTCAGTCGTTTGGCTGAGTGCCTGCTTTTGCCTTGGCTTTAGTTCCTGGTTGAGCAGGTCCTGGTTCTTTTTTCCTGCATGAACTGGATGTTGCCAAGTAGTCAAACAGTCAGTTGGCGACCTGTTAAAGCGGATTTGTGCTACTCTTGGCTCTGATGTCATGCACTCTGCAACCGCGCCCCTCCCCAGCCATATTGCCACCGAGCCTCCGGTTTTCAGTTTTCAGTTTTCAGTTTTCAGTTTTCAGGATACTGCAGCCGGAATGGTCGCCCCGTTGGCGTCAACAGCTTACATTATTTATTTTGTTTTATTTTTCATCTGTTTCCAGTCTGGCATGGCACATGGATTTGCGGGCGGAGACTGGGACCCCGAATGATGATAGATCAAGTATTTATAGAATGTCGTTTTGCATTTCTTTTCCTATTGATTTTTGTTTAGGGCTTCGCTTTTATTCTTCAAGAGTTGAAAATGATTTTGTAAATTAGTTGAAAATATTTTTGCTCGAAAATGTTCCATCGTAAACTGAACCGAACGCTGAACATATCCATTTCTGTTTAATCGCAGAGCAAAGGGATTTTCGCGTGGGTCCTTGAGCGGAAATTGAGCCTCTGTTCGAATGTTGCCGGCAATGATTAGCTGAAATCCCATGCAGTGGAAGTTTGCTTGGTGCCATTGGGACAGTCGCAATTATTGGCGATTCCGGAGCTTCCACTTCCTGCATGAGCCGGCAGCAGCTACTTATTAGATATTCAATCCGCTCAAATGTTTTTGAGTTGTATACAAAAGACATGCACAAATTTTGTACTTAAAGCTTACAAATATTATTATTTGCTATTATATTTTTTAAAACCTCTTTAGCAAGCGAACTAGTGTTGAGTAAGCAGGGAAAATGTTTTCTGGCCAACAGCTGTACTCCGTGACAGGAGGATTGGGGGAAATTAACGGAGGAGCACGAGGGGATCCCATTTAATAAAGGACGCAAAGATATAAGTTAAGCCGCCTTTTCTGAAGTATCCTGCGTGGCTTGCCACCCGTCGCTGTGTCGACATTTTGAAAGCATTTTCCAAGTTGCCGTTCTGATGGAACGTGAACTTCTATTCGATGTTCGTTACTTGCTTGTATAGTAGCTCTTTTGTTATTTTATTTATTTTTTTTTTTTTTTGGCTGTCAAGCAGGATATTACACCTCGGATTTTCGCGCTGTCTTTCACTTTCGCCTGCTGTGACATATTTCTATGGCCATTTCCCTTTCCTTTCCCTGCTGCGAGAGCAGACAGACACATTTTTTTGGCTCACTCTTTTGTTTTTTCTGTATTTTTTGTTTTAATCTTATAAGCATTGTCAGCGTGTGCTCATGCCACAAATTGTTGCATATATCATCCCAGTGCGCTTTATTGTTTTAATATGTTAAATCGTAAGTTTCGCGGAATTTACATTCCTTAATATGTGGGAATTATGAGAGCTTTTTGTATGAAATGCAAAGTATCTAATAAGAATTCTGTTTAAGGGAAAATGTATTCACCCACATGAAGAAATACCAGTTTTTTGTGGACTAGTCTAACAAAATGTATTAGCAGTACACAACTAACCAACTAGACGGAAATTTTTAATAGCCTTGGCTTAAATATATATATTTTACCATTTAAGCTAAAACCATAAGTGTATACATACTCCTGTGTCTTTTACCAAGAAGTTCTTCTAATTGGCATTCCTTTGGTGGCGTAAACCAAATTTTCATACATTTATCAACACTTTTTGTGGTCCTCTGGCAAATGTAATTTATATTTCTGAGCGAGTCTGTCTGCCTTTTTTTTTGTTTGCTCATTCCTGCGAAAATTCGCTTGATTGTTTCACCGTACATCCGGCGGGAAAACAAGTATTTACACCGCAGCCCTGAACCAAATTAGCCATTTTCTAATGAAACACAAGGAATCGTTTGGGTTGTGTGAGCTTTTGGGTCTATCTGCGCACTGATAAAAGTACAAAAGATATTGCCAGGGGCAAATTTCTTCCGCCCACACTCCCACAGATATCATACATACATAACTCACCGTTGATTTTGGAGCACACTTTGCCCCCTTTGGGGGCTTTTCTTTTTTTCATCTATGTTTTTGTTTGGATTTAACTCACGCTTCGTTTGTAGTTATGTTCTACGTGTGGTTAATCGCAAATGAGCAGCGCTATTCCTTGTTACCATAATGAGGCCAATTAGGCTTGAGGCAAAAACTAAATGCTGTGTGCAGTTTGTGTAATGGGCCGCCTAACAATGCGTAGACCCCACGTATGTATAACGCCCACTTTGCCGCCCCTTTTGGCTCAATTACGGATGTGGCAAACGGCTTTACATCTCTTTCAAGCGATATCCTGGCGATGTTCCGACATCCTGCAGCTTTAAGTCGCTCCTTGTCCGTCATTTGGTGCTTGGATTTTGTTGATGTTTTGCAGACTTTGTGGCGGCTGCAACTAGAATTGCACCATCACCATTTTATGGCTCCATTTGCATTCGAAGTTTGCTCCAAGTAAATGCCATTCGAATATTCCAAGTTCTTTTTACACTTTATGAGCCACCAAACTTATTTCGACAGTGGTCCTTATAAAACTGGTAATCTGGTTTGTGTTTGCTATTGTGGTAATTTTCGATTATTTCCCATAACTTCGTTACAGTAATAAATATATAAAAGTCTGGGGATTTGATGGTCATCAAAATATCCTTCTGAAAAAAAAAACAAGAGAGAACGTTATAGTCGAGATACTCGACTATCAGATACCCGTTATTCAGTTAGTGCAACAGAGAAATTTCAGTATTTTTCAAATTTATAGAAATTGATACGAAAAAAATGATATGAAAAGTGACTAATTTTAAATATAAATAAAACTTAAACTTGCCATAAAAATTATTAAATACTTCCAAATATTAATAATTATTTCATTTACTTGAGATATGCTATCTAGTTCCTGTTTCAAGATTTGATTAATCACTAATGTTTAGTTGATCCTCATTATTGAAGAACACCACGAGGGTCATTTGCAAGTGCAATCCAACTTCAGCAGAAAATCGTGCTGAGCTCGACTTAAAGTTAGTTCCTGTCCACAACAGCCGGCCACTTACGTGATAAAAGATTTTCGCACATATACAGTGACAATGCAATTGCTGGATAGATATTTGCACGGAAATCGCAAGAGAGCATGTGAAATATTTATGGAGGGGCATTGTGAATGTCATGATGATTAGTTGCATATTCTCTTAACCCACCAATGCCAAAGGAGCTGGCTGTGTGCCCGATTTGGACCAGGCAAATATTTAATTTAAGAACATTTTCTTGCGTTATCCTCGAACATGGGACGTGGGCCACAGCGTGGCGTGTCCTTTTACTATCCTGTCCAGTGCTGTCCTGTCTTGTCCTGTCCAGTCCTTGCAAATCTCAGTTGGATTCCACCCACTCTTGGGCAAAACACACCCCCTCTTCCTTTCTCTTCTGAGCTTTTCCTCCTTCGATTGCAGCTGAGGCTCAGTCATACTCGTATTAGCCCAAGTCAAACAATGGCATTGGCAAACCGAGGAACAGCGCCAAATTGCAACGTGCAGAGGCCAGTGGAAAGCATAGAAAGAAGCGGGAAAATTGGGAAAAACAGGGCCTGGGCAAGTGGCGTTAAGAAAATGCACCAGACAGAAAATCGATGGCAATATTCTAGCTACTTTCGACTGGTGCTGCTGCTGCTTCTCCTGTTGTTCCCGGTCTTATTTGTTTATTTTTTATTGTTCCTTGTGAGGGAGGCACTCTAAATCCTTTGTGTGGCAGATTAACACGTGCGCACTCTCGGGAGCATCGGAAAAAAGTAGAAAAGTCAGAAGGTCACTTTGAAGTTGCTTTCACATCCAGACATATATTTACATACATCAGTATGTTTCTCAATACATATAAATATTTTTTCATATTTTCTGCTCAGCCCAAATCGATCTTGTACTTTTGTACGATTTTGTAGCAAAATTAATTGGCTTTTAAAGAAGCATGCACATTACATCCAAACAAAATCTTTGAACTGGAAAGGAAAAGAAATTTAATCAAAACAATTGTTCCCCAAATATCGACGTTCGTATGAGCATGAAAAGTTCGACTTGGATAGTGATCATTATCGGAAACACACTTTATCGGATCTCATATACCCATTTACCCATTTAAATCATAACAAAAATTTGCAAAATGAATAAATGCACATATTCCGATGCTATATTCCTCTTTTTTATGAAACTCAGTTTTAATTTTCTCACAATTTCTTGGTTTTATTGTAAAAATTCAATCATAACAATTAAAATTCAGTTTACATTTCTTTTTAAGGGGCTTCGGACTGTCGTTCAGTTTGAAATTATGCTATTACATTTATGAATTTTATACATGTATAATATTTATACATGTATACTTGTGTGCTACATATATCGGAAACAATTCCTTTATCGTAAATTGTTCATATTTTAAATACTTAAAAAATAAAATGCGTCTAAATCGAAATAGGTAATTACACTGTCGCTCAATAATGTAATGTTCAATGTTAATGTATAATTATTTGTTTTAAGTTTTTTGTGATTATTACCTAATCAATCATATTGGTGTGGCTTCTATTAATTTTTGGTTTTGATCTTTATTTCTAATTAGAAGTTAATCGTTATCAGCTTAGGTTGGTTTCCTCTTTTTTATCCAAAAATATACATTTTCCCTTAATTTGTTCAGTTTAGTGTCGTCGGTTACTTGGTTTTCTGGCTCGTTAGAGGACGAAGGCCCACGATAGATTTCTCAAAAAGGCAAAAACATTAATATATTTATACATATACAATTAGCTGATTTTCTTTATACAAGTTATACAAGTTTTGTTGCTTTGGTTCCCGCTTGTGTGAACAATTCAAATATAACAATTCCCGATGCTTAGACTAATGTGTTTTTCTTCGCTAAAAATAACAAATAAACTAGCCAATAAACACCAGCTTCCGCTGAATGCACACTTAAAGTTCCATCAAGAAGACATTCTGTATGTATAGTTTACAATGTGGGTGCTATGAGGAGTAGGTCTGGTTACCCTGTCCTCTTTGCGGCGATTGTTGCTGCACTGGTTGTGCAGTTGGTGACATGTTCATTTGGCTATTGGCATTAGCTCTAACATTTAAGCTACTCGCATTGTTTTGGCTAACTTGGGACTTATTGTTATTGTTTGTGGTCGTGATTGTGGCAACACGTCTCAGACGATTATCCGGAATCGGTGGTGAGTTCAGAGTGCCCGAGTATGGCTGATGTTGCGGCGACAGCGAGGACGGGCCACTTCCGCTTCCGCCGAAGGCATTGCGAATGCTGCTACTGCCGCCCAACCCACCCATGCCTCCAGATCCAGCCCCACCAAGGCCGCCGGCGGATCCTCCGAAGATGCTCCCATTGCTACTGCCGATCAGGCTGAGGGAGTGCTCGTTCGAGAGGATCTGGTGGGCGGCCAGGTTCATTTCCTCGGGCGTCATGTCCAGCGCCTCGCGCATCTCCCGTGCAGCAGTCCCCACGAACTCGGAGTCGCAGTATTTACCCAATCCTTCAGCGGCGAGTACCTACAAGTTTTGGGATTCATTATGCCACGGCCACTTGGTTTGTTATTACCATAGGTCAGTAAATCAGTTCATTTCCCCTTTTTTCTTACTTACCCCTCCAATCAATGATTCGGCTAGGCCGTTCATATCAGATGAAGTTGGTAAACGACGCTGATCGTAGGGACTAGCTGGTGTCGATTGGATCATGCGTTCGTGGCCAGGAAGAGCACCATTGGGTGCGTAGACTGCATGTTTGCATAAGATAAGAAAATTTTGAGGTCAATTGTGAATAAATGTAAGCCTTTTGGTGTGGATATATGCATGATTTTTATACACGCGTTATTTGAGCTTGATGATCCAGGTTTTTATACTTTAAGCGCTAAGTCAATCTAGCCTATAGTTTTGAATATTAAATCAATCTCTATGCACTGATCATCGAATTTATTTATTTAATATATTTACAAGGTAAAAACGGTAGTTTTTGTAAAAATAAAAAGAAAATATATAACACATTTCAACGAGAATACTTAAGTTTTTTTAATGCAGTTAAAACAAATTACTAACTGCCTGATGGAAATGTACATGTTCCTTGTTGGCTTACGAGGATCATCAAGCTTTTTTATTTTGTTTATGATTACTGTTATTTGTTAGTTAAGCATTCGACATTGCAAGCTCTTTATACACGATCTGCATACATTGTTAATATCATAAGCACAATTAAAATTATAACTTGGTTCTAAATTAAGCAAGCAGTTATTGGTTAGATTAGGGCAAAGCTCAATGTTCTCCAAAAATACTAGGCAACACTTATACGCAATTTAGCTATACTTTCTATAAACAATGCAGGCGGAGCATCTAAGCATCTGTTATATTAGTTTTTCGTAGGTGTGTTTTGTATTCACAGTGTGTTTGTTAATGTTTGTATGGAAGATGTGAAATCCCGAAGGCCCCAATCCGTGTGACAATGGTTCCCACACAATAAAGATAAGGAAGCGACAACAATACAATGCTGAGAGATAATTGTGAATTTTCGGAATACACTTTCTGGCACATTTTTTTCGCATAGCATAGGAAAACATATATTCTGTAACAATAACAACGATGACAACGTTCAATTCGCAGCTTGGGTATACAAATGGAGTATTCGGTTTTTGGTTAGTATTATATGGATAAATGTGGTTTATATGGTCGCAAGGCACACACTTTTGTAAGGTATATGGCTTCACAAAAAAAGCCAAGAGGCCAAGACTTATGAGTAGATGGGCACAACATCACGGCTTTTTAAAATAAATATATATATATATAAGAAATTTTATATATATGCTGAGTATATAGACATCGATATCGGGTTTGCTTTGGGTTTGCGTTTAATTACGTTCGTTCTCTCTTGCTGTTGTTGCGTGTTAAACGATTGTTGTTGCTAAAGTTGTTTCTGGTACTTGTTGTAGTTTGTTGTTCTTGTTGTAGGTGTTATGTCATTAAATCCATATTGTTATCAGGGGGAACTTTCATATAGGAACTCACGAAATATCATAATTTTTACCGACAACGGAATGTTTCAATTGCTTCTCTCTTTCGCATTTTAAACTTAACAGAAAATCATAATGAAAGAAATATACAAAACGCTTTGGGAAGGATTCCCATTTGGAAAGGGAAACCAGTCTTGATTCGAACTCTTTGCAGACTCTTTGGACACTGAAGAATTTTGTCAGGTTCGAGACTCAGCACTCGGTGGTTTTTAAACTCGAATCACTTATGCTATAATAAAAATGTTTGTGAGAAAGAGTTATAAAAACAAATTACTTTAGCAGACATATTTGACTGGTTTTAAAAAATACCCTGTCTTGGCGAATTTGTTCTTCTTGGAAATTTATGATTTTTGCTGGGTTAGTTCAGTTTATTAGTTTGTAATTAACAAAAGGAGCCACATACGCTAAGGTTAATAGTGGTGGTTATAATGGGAAGATCTAATTTTTGAAATTGTTTTTTTGTTCAGTTTAGTTGTGAGTAACACAATAGCTATTGGTTATCGGGAAGAAGTTTGGAAGGAAAGTTTGGTATCGATAGTATTTAATATAGATTAGCCAATTTAAGAACCAAATTCATTTATTTTCTGCATCATAGAAAAAAGAAGAAAATAACTCTTTCATTAAATCAAATTAAATACTTCAGGAAAATTATAAATCTGTTCAAAAACCAAGCATTCCGATCTAATACTATTTTTAATGTCAAGAATACATGTATTATCTTTTTTACCCCTTAAAACACATAATACACGTTGTTACCTGTGTTTTTGCTTTTCTGAAATTAACAAAAATTCTTAAGGTAATGGCTTTATGTATGTTTTCGTGTGTTTGGCTCGATTTTAACTATAATGCAGCGGAAGCGTTTCTATAGAACTATATTAATTAGCTGTAAATAAAGCTGCACTCAATAATACTAAGCTACGAGTTCGATCTACAATAACCAGTCTATTTATGTTTAAAATCTAGTCGATGTGTACTACAATGATGTGAAACATAATGACAATTTCATTTTCGATTCAGTTAATATAATTTTTGGTCCCAATTAGAAAACAGCCAGGTAAACACAATAAGAACATAAAACATTTGGCCGCCTCATCTGATTAGTTTATGATTTTGCAATTGACCTGAAAAGTCGTATTGAACATTTTCACATGCCGCAGGCAATAACAAATCTTAGAACGCAGTGGTCGAGAATCTGTACATCATTTCAATTTGCAATATGTTTAATGGAAATGCAGCAGCTACATAATCGGATGTAAAACAAAACAAATCATTTCGTAAACAATTAGATTGGTGTTATAACAAATTTGTGTTGCTTTTTTGTTAGGGTCAAATTTGAGGTGTATGAAAACAACAAACGAACCAATTTGATCGGAATTATTTTTAGAATTTTGTCCGGTTAAAAAGGAATAGAGTATAAAACACATTAAATAATGTTAATAAAAAAGAGTGCATTTGGTTGTTGCTGTTGCAATTACTGCTGTAGTTGGTTTTGTTATGTTTTTATTTGTTTTAATTTTATTATTGCAATTTGCAGCATTTTAGGCTTACCATTGTTATATGGATGCAATAAAATACCACGATTGCGGTTGCTGAAATTAATGTTCGGGGATTGAGTAAAAGTTTGGTTTATGTATTGCTTTTTTGCTCAATAGGTTGGTCGTTTCTGTATCATTTGTCTTGAATTCCACTAGTTTATGTGGCAACAAGTATGCATTTAAAGGATTCATTGTGATTGCAACTAGGTTTGCTAAGACAACTAATTGAAAAACTCGTATTTATGTTGGTGGTGCCAAGTCTGTTGTTGAGCTTGGCTCGGCTCCTTTTGTCCATTACAAACTTCAGGGCGCTCTTCACTAGGTGACCAAACAAAATGCCACAAAACAGAAAACGCTAATTGTTGGCAATAGGTATATGGATAAACTCACTAAACAGCAAGCCATAGTAACGAGTATTATGGTAATAGAGCTTCGTGTTTTTTAAAATATTTTTTTTTTTTTTTTTTATGTATGGGCTGGGTGACAACTCAAAAATTGGCCTACAGACCGCTTCACCTGTAAAATCATCCACCCCCGCATACTCACTCATAGTTAATGGCATTCGCCTCAGGCGGCAGTGTTCCGGCCACAGTGGCCGCTCCTCCTCCTGCTCCTCCACTTTTGGCCAGCGGTCGCATGGATATGCTCTCGCCGAATGTCCTCAGCTCTCCGCCACTTCCTGCCCCCTGCAGTTCGTCCTGCAGCTTTCCGGCTGCCGCCAAACGGGCCTGCATTATGTTTCGCGTTATGTTATTCACTCCATCGGCTACGCTGCGGTTCAAGGTGTCGTACAGGTAATCCCCGCCAGCGGGATCGGAGCTCCCCAGGACCAGCGAGCTACCGCCCACGCCCAAGGCTGCGGACGCGGATCCACCGATCGCCAGTGCTCCGTTGCTCTGGGATGCAGAGGCCTTGGCACTTCGCCTGAAGGTTCCATTGCCATGTCGGCGGATCGATGACCACACGCTGCCAAAAAGCGTATGGTGGCGCTGCAATAATTAATTAATTAGGAAAAATGTTGATTTTGAAATATATAAATGTAGCAGACTCCCATGCTAGTCTCCATAATTCTACCCAAAATAATCCATTCAAATTGAACATATTTTCTGAAGCTATAATCTTTATAATGTTATTGATTGTGGCATTTTATACTTCCTTTTATGTATAGGAAGCATTAAATAAGATTCCTGAAACAAACCGACATTAACTTTATTGCTAACTTACTCGATGCATGGGCTCCGGCTCCTGGTCCAGCTCGTCGAGATTACCGGAGATGGCTCTCTTGAGAGCGGGGGACACTTCGTGTAGGGTTCGCAGGCCGGCCTGCAGAGTGACTGTATTACTGTCCGGATGACCCTCCTTGCCCTCCTGTTCCTTGCGCTTCTTGAAGCGCCGGAAATAGTCCTGAATCAGATATGTGGCGTAGAACTTGCCGACGGTCACCTCGTCATCGTTGCCCGGCGGTGGAACAACCTGATCCAGGAGCTTCGGATTGGTGCGTTTCCAGATCTGCTTGATCGTGGCGCGCAGCTCGGAGTTGGCATCATCGATGTTACCGTCAGTTTTGATGCTCAGCGATGTGCGTACCACCGCAAACAGTGTGGCATTGAAGAGGACCGTTCCATCTGAGTTGAGTGGCATGTTCATGGAAACCAGCCGTTTGCAGGCCATTCTATGCGGACACAGTTTGCCGAAGCCAAGTGGTGGTGAGATCTTCCTCAGCAATGTGACCACATCCAAGTGTTTGATGCGCCCTTTGGCATCCGGATCGTACTCGCTCCACAGACGAATGAACTCGTCCAGGTGATGGGGACCCAAAATGGACCAATCCCGCGTCAGATAGTCAAAATTGTCCATAATGACGGCCACGAAGAGATTGATGATCTAAAAAACATATTCATTTATAGTCATCCTTCATATATAATTAAATGCACGAAGCCGTTATTTGTATCCTTACCAAAAACGAGCAGAGAACATAGAAGGAAATAAAGTAGGGATAGGCTATAGAGGAACCGCATGGGTCTCCCGGTGTATCTGAATTCTCATCGCACTTGACATCCGGTTGGGCCGAGCAGGACATCATAATCTCCTGCCAAGCTTCACCGGTGGCCGATCGGAATAGTACTAATACAGCCTGCTGAAAGGTTTGGAAATTGTTATTGGCCGTGATGGCGTTACCCCCATCTAGAGCAATTTTGCCAAAAACCTGAAAATATGAAGTTTGTTAAAGGAGGCTTTCTAGAAATGTTAAGACGTAAAACTTACTTGCATCCCCACAACCGCATAAATGAAAAATAGTAGCACAATTAGCAGGGCTACATAAGGTAGTGCCTGGAAAGATTTGATAAAAGTCCACAGTAATGTTCGAATGCCTTCGCCTTTGCTGAGAAGCTTGACAAGTCGCATCACTCGGAACAGTCGGAAGAAGTTGATGGATATTAAACTCGAACCAGCCTGAAAAAGAGCGTTTTTGACTACACAGATTTGGATAATTTTCGATAAACTCACTGATTTCTTTGTATTCTTGCAGACTTCTACAATGTCACATTCTGCTATCTGAGAAGTATCTTTGCTCTGCAAAAATTTTTTAAATATTATAACCAATAATTTTCTAGGCTATGCGCTTAAGAACCTTAATTTCAGAGTAGACAATGTCAATGAAACTGCCCAAAACGATGATAAAATCGAAAACGTTCCAGGCATCTCCAAAATAGTTCTGTGTTGTAACAAATAGATTAGTCTTATTGGATTTACATATTTTTGTAACACCTCTTACCTTAAATCGAAACGCGGCTAATTTAAAAACAAATTCCAAAGCAAACACCGCCGTAAATATCATATTCAAGGCATCTAAAAGTTCCGTGTACCACAATGGCTGATTATAAAACTTCATAGCCAGCGTTACCGTGTTTATCATGATCAGTATGAATATGGTGTACTCAAAGGATGACGATGTCACGAACCACCAGACCTTATATTGTATACCATGCTTTGGTATATAGCGTCTTACGGGTTTTGCTTTCAAGGCAAATTCTATGCAATTGCGCTGATTTTTATCCAGATCACAATTCTTATATTCCTGTTCGCCCTCATTTTGGAAAGTGACGATAACGAAACCGACGAATATGTTCACCATGAAGAAGGCAATTATAATAATGTAGATTATATAGTAGGCAGCTACGATCGGACGGAAGTTGTGTATTGGACCGCCGTCTTCCTTATTCGAATCAATTGAAACATACAGCAAGCTGTAATGTCAAATGATGTATAAGAGTGCTACTGAAATATAGTATCTAGGCAGTCACTTACCCTGGCCAACCCTCAAAGGTGGACACCGTGAACAAAGTCAACATGCCCTTGGCCACATCATCGAAATGGAACCGATTGTTTTTCCACACCCGGTCCCTGAGTCGCGGCTTATGAACATCACCATCATCATAGACTAGATAAGTTCCGCTAAAAAATAATATTTTTGCATTAAAACGAAACCAAAACTACCACACAAAGCATACTTACCAGCATTCAGCTTCCGTCATTTTTGAACCATCAGAGCAAGAGAAAAATTTGCCCTGTTTTTGATTTGGGATTTGGAAGACAGTCAAGTATTAGAGAATGAAATGGTAATGGTGATATGTCAAGGAACGCAATCTCAACGTTAGGTAATATTTGATAGAGTTTGCTTTCCCGGGAATCACAAACATTAAAACTGCTTTACTGTATGAACTAATATCTAATACCTAGTTCAAAAAAGGCTTTACTTTGATAGACTATCTAGTTCTACGTATTTTTGCTTAAATGTATGCACACAGTTACAGGGTGTTTCATATGCAAACACATATACATACAATGCTCGAAGTTTTTGGATGGACGACAAAGGTTTTAGTTTTTTGTATAGAACAGAGCATTATTTACAGACGGGACACCAACAAGGGTTATTGGGTTGAAAACAGTGTTACATACGTTTGAAAATATATAAATATATTACATTGGGTTACATTGGTTGGCAAGGAGCGAGCTAACTTTGCCTTAGAGGTTAGTTTGGAAAGCTAGGAACTAAACTGAGCTGGATGGTAAAGCTTCGAAATTTTGTTTTGTTTACCAAGCTATTGCGAAGCAAATTTGTTCTGATAAGAAGAAAATGGGAAAAAAACTTGACTTTGACTTTTCTTTAGAAAAAAGCTTTTTTTTAGTCAAATTCAAAGATATCACACCGACAATAGTTACCTTTCAGTACAAAATTACCCTACACACAAATACCAAAAAGAATCTACAAAATTCATAGCACACACTGAATAAGCCGCAATTTGTCTTTATTTATAGTTGATCCTTAAAAAATACAAGCGCACACTTAAAGCCGTCTTCAGATACCCTTTACCAATGACTTTTTATATATAATTCAAATGAAATTACCTTAAAGAGTTGTACTCCAATAACAGCGAACATAAATTGTAACAAATATGTCACCAACATGATATTACCAATGGTTTTGATTGCGACTACAACGCACTTGACCACATACTGCAGAAATTTAATTATTTATTAGTGTAGGCCAATTGGTTTATTATTCAAATTTATGACGTATGAACGACAATAAGAATTTTAATTTCATTTTTAATTCAAGATATTGTGTGGTTATTCAGAACCGATTTGGTGGAAGATATCAAATGAATTTTTTTCCATTATATCAGTATGGAAAACCCGACATTTTTTTTGGGTGCGCAAAATTCAATTCAAAACCACCGCAACACGTTCAAGAAGAGAAAAAGGGAAGAAAATACGTTTAAAATATGGGGAAATCTTTTGCAATTTGATTATATTTTGTACAATTACAGGAAAAATAATAAAACAGAAAATGAAATAAAAATAAAATCAAAATGTTTATCTTATCAAGGTAAAGGTAACAAAAAATCAAAAAATAAAATCAGTACACTTTAAATATGATTTAATGAATCCATAGTAAAAGTTCTCTATTAAATGCAAGAAACATCTTAGAACAATTTTTTGTACAGATATATTTAAAACTTATGGTTAATTTTACAGTGGATTCAGTAGGTTGTTTACAATCTTAATGCAGTTGTGAGTTGTTGTTACTGATGGTCCGCAAACTTAGGGTTCTTTACACCGGGGAAGATTTTCACTATAGGACGGATTGGCCTTGATGCTAGGGTGCAAGGTAGGTTGCTGACTTGTAGCTAATGGCTAAAACCCAAAACTCATGTGCTGATGTGTGTGCTATTAGGTTTATAGCGTATATATTGTATGTGTAAGTGTGCTCATGATCGCTTTTCGATATCTATTGTGAATTTGTTGCATTAGACGTGTACAAACGCAGAAAATGGGTGTGGAATATATAAGAGTTGATAATACAATAAATGGCATAATGTGTATTAAGTCGTGTGAGTTGTGTTACGATCGCGATAACTGGATGCTAGGAGTCCTTAAAATTATGTTTAGTAAGTTTTTTCTCCTTTTCCTGATACAAGACTACAAAGTTCTGTTTGAGCAAAGTTCTTTTCCTGTATGTGACTATCGGATTTCCTGATTTATCTTTGATACTGACTTGACCTTAAGTACATTTTGCTGAGCATTAATAAGCACTACTAGCCAGCTAAAGTTGTTGATATGTACAATTTAACTTTCTCGGTTAAAAGTAAACCAATATGATACACAAAGATTAGTCAACATGTTTGAAACCCATAACAAATTAAAAAGCTTTTAAACAACATTAGTAGCAAAAGAATGCAAACAAAATTGTATTTTAAACAACAAAAAGGTTAGCAACGTTTTTAGAAAATGCTTGTTTTTACACCCAAAAATTAACGCCAATGTTTAATATTTTAAAAGGAAACTGAACTATTGTTTAAGTTGGGCTGTATGTATGCAGAAACTAAATTAACTTAGGACTTTTCGTCGAAGTTTCCATGCGGTAGTTTGATTCTAAACTAATTTTTACAGATTCTTAAATTCTAATTAAATGAATAAAAAGGATTATTCATTTTCAATAAATATGTTGATGAAGGGTATTCAATTGACTACCCTAATCATTAGTGAGGATTCCCTACGCTTGCGTTCCTTATAAAATACTATCCTATTGGGAACTTAAAAATAAAATCATACCTTAAACAACTGGACTCCTATTACGGCAAACATGAACTGCAGTAGGCATGTGACGAGCACAATATTTCCGATAGTCTTAACAGCGACTATGACACATTGAACAACATGCTGTATGTGATACGACGATATATAGTTATAGTAAAAACACTATTTAATAAATATAAATCTAATTATAGTAAGGCATGTTTGGTTTCTGACTTCCATATTTTGCGCGAACAGTTTGCTGGTCATGTGTTTAGTATTAGGAGTTATAACATAGAGTTAACTATGCCCAAGCCACGCCCATACATTCCTATTCCACGCCCATTTTCGTTAGGGTGTTACGAGTAAAACTCGAAATCAAGAAATAGATTTGTCAGCTGTGTGTAGTTCATGAATATACTTTTCGCTGCTTTTTTGATATTTTCATAACTTTATTGAGGTGCACCCTACACCCAGCATTTCAAGGTTTTTTGTTTGGCATACTCTAAAGTTAATTGAAGACCCAAGAACACTTCTTTGGGATTATTATTATTTAAAATGTTTAACTTGCATATTAGTTTGAGATAAATTGTCATTGATTGTGCTCTTCGTAATGAACTAAAAATTGAAATAATAAAACTGAAACTCAAAGAAGAAGAAGTACAATAATTTTCTGTTGAAGCATTTTATTTAGTGTCAGAAAGTAAATAGCGAAATTGGATAGGTTTTGAATGAATTCTTACCTTTAGTCCCTTGGCACGATTAATAGCTCTGAGTGGCCTTAAAACACGGAGCACACGTAGAATTTTCACGACTGAAATCGCATTCGAACTGCAGTTGAAATCGACGTTATTGTTTATGTTCCAGAAGTAATAAGTATCACAACTACTGGGTTAGAGTAGTTATATGGATTATCGTTTACCTGGACACTAGAGAAATCAATGACACGCAAACCACAAGTAAATCTAATAGATTAAATGCGGATCTGCAAAAGGCTCCGTCGTGTAATACGAAACCGTATGAAATCAATTTCAGAATCAGTTCTATTGTGAAAACTGCCGTGAAAAAATAATCAAATTTATTGAGCACCTGCAAAAACAAATGAACCGGTTGTGAAGAACATCGAATGGAAAGCGTTTCTAGTAGGAGTGAAGACATTTGCAATTTGCAATTTTCAATTGTAACTTACAAGCCTTTAAGTTCATTGACGTTGCTTTATTTATTTTTTTTTTGCCGGAGCTGGAGCTACTTACTTTATTCAGGTTATCATTGGCTTTCAGAGGATTCTCTGCAGCCAACATAGCCGAAGAAAACATAATGCAACACAGGATAATGTTGCCGAAATTGCTGTGATTGCAAAGCCAATGGCAGAAGACGCGAAATCTGTTGAAATATAGAAGAGTAGAGTGTTAAGGAACGTGCTGCAACAAGTTTGGAAATCACAAAAGTAAAATCACAAAATAACAAACACATTTTTGGCATGCAGTTAGAAGTTTTACAATTCAAGTTATAAACAAAATCATGGAATAAAAAGCAGCTAAGATTGGAAATAAATTTTGTCTACCAAAATGGATTTCTATAATCTAATCAAACTCAAAATAAAACCGTAAATTAATTCCTTTGACAATATACAAAACATGGTTAAACAAAAGGACAAATACATGATTATTGAAATTATGTTTTAGCAACATAATCTACGCAGACACACTAACACACACACACACACATATATATAGCATTTTCGGAGATTTTCAATACTTGGGGATCAAAAATAAAACTCAAACATAAAAACCTGTTCGTTTGTGAGAAAAGAAAAAATGATGTGCCCGGCGGTATGGGTAGAATTTTCGTGGCCGTATTAACCTCAGACATACGTCGGGGTCGTGCTGTAATCATGCCTTCTTCATCCACTATATGCAATACAAATTTTATCATATATTACGTATATATATGTATGTTGCCAATTTGGAAAAAATAATAAACACATTTATAAGAATTTGTCCAAAAATCGTTTGTACATTTAAACTACGAGTACCTTAAACATAAACTTAGGTCTTAATAAAAAATGTATATTACGAGTATTTGAAGTTCGATTTGTACCTATACATATTATTCTACTTCCATTAAACAGAAAGAGTGAACAAATATTGATACTTAGATGTGGCCAACCTCAACAGCAAAATGCAAATCCAATGAAAATTAAATAAATAAAACATATAATCATCGTCGTATTGGGTTTTATCGAAACTAAAAATTTGATAAATTATATACATTCGCAATACGCCATAAATACAGCTCGATTTAGAATTATTATCGATTGTTTGTCACATGCGAACAACAAACGGTTGAAGAAAACCAGTGTAAGATAAAGTAACTCCAATCACAAGACACATGGACCATATTAAAGGGTGTGCGAGTGTGTTTCTGTAGTACTTGTATGTCGATCGCTGATTGATCGCTTGATTGATTGCTTGATTGAATTACCTGTTCGTGTAACTGAAAATGAAAAAGGCACTGCCTCGCGGGATGGGCTTTTTAGTCTTCTTCATGCTGACTTCGGATAATCGCCGGGGTCGTGCAGTGACACGTGCTGATACTTCGGAATTGGAGTCTTTTGATTAATAATTGCAAGTGTTGTGTGTGTTTTTATGGTTTTTGTTGGATTTTTGTTTTGTTTTTGAGTGCGAGGTTTCCGAAAAATAGCAGCATTGATGTAGGCGTCGGCGGCATTGTTTTAGGAAATATTTTTGGTTTGGTTTTGATAGGTGTTAGTTTCTTGAGAAAGTTTAAGCATAAGCTAAGTACTTAAAATGTAGTTCTTAGGTAATATTTACTTCTTACACTGAGCTTAGTCGGGGTTGGTTAATACAATTGAACATGACATACCTTCCTCTTCCTCCTCGCACATTTCGCGGTGTTCCTCGTCAGATAAAGTTTCATGGTCCCTGAAAAAGCGTGTGTTTTGATTTCAATATTGATTTGTTAAAAAACAGGTTGGTTTGGCTTCCTACATTTTGTCTTCATCATCCAGTTCATGCTGCTCCATGTCGATATCTATGCTGAGATGATCATCCATGCCATCAATTGTTGGAGTCGGACTGTGTGACCTCTTCTGAGCAGATTCATCGTGCTTAAGTAATGAAAATAGTTCTTAGTTAAAGTACTCAAGGAAGAAAATTAAAACCCACAGGCTCCTCCTCTTTTTCGACCTCGGAGAGCGAGTCGGCATCGGCCAAGTTATCCACAGCAATGGCCAAGAACACGTTTAGCAGGATGTAGTTACCGCATATAAACAAAATAATAAAGTAAATACAGGCCAAGGCACCATAGGAGGACACACCACCATAGGCATTGATGCCCACATACATCACAGCATTCCAATCCTCACCAGTCATGATCTGGAATAATTTCATTATATCATTATGATACGACCAAGCTTATGAGCCCAATTGACTTGCCTGAAAGACTGTGAGCAGAGCCTGCCAGAAGCAGTCGAAGTTCATTCGATACTTCTCCTCTTTGCCGTCAAAATTAAATTTACCGCCAAAGACTTGCATGCCCAGCAGAGCAAATATCACAATAAATAGGAAGAGCAGTAACAAAAGTGAAGCAATTGATTGTATAGAGTTCAATAAGGAAGCAACGAGATTTGAGAGCGACCGCCAGTACCTAAAAGTAATGAATGGTCATTCAAATTGTTCCACTGTGTCGGAATCGCTAAATCCTTCGACATACTTAGTTACTTTGAAGACTCTGAGGAGACGTACACATCGCAGCACGGATACGCCCAATGGAGGCATTATTCCCGTGTTTGTCAACAGGGTTTCCGTAATACTGCCAATCACCACAAAGCAATCAAAGCGATTGAACAGCGAAACGAAGTAGCCCTGAAAGCCCAAGCTGTACATCTTCAGCAGCATTTCGCAGGTGAACAGGCCGATGAAGAACACATTGGTGTACTCTAAAACATGGCGTAATGTGAAAAAACTATACATGTGAAAGTACAATATTTTTACATTTACACTCACCCTGGAAGTTATCCAGCCAATCCAGCTGCTGATAATGCTCCGTGGCCAAGACACCCGTATTGAGAAAGACCAAAACGATGATGAGCCAGTAGAATGCCTGTGACTTGACTGCCTTGCGACAGGCCCTTCGCATCCGTCGATTGACTCGATCGAAGTCCTTCTTCATTTTGCGCCAACGTGATTCAGTCATTTGAACTTCGGGCATCTCTTCGCCCAGGTTCTCGGTGGAATCCATTTCGTTGGGCTGCTTGCCCTTGCCATCGGATATCAGACCTCCAACCGCGTCTGGTTCGATGTCCTCGGCTTGGGTAATCCAATCGAGGTAGCCCCGCAGATCCTCTTCGATCTGCTGCTTCTCGCGCAGCTTCTGGAAGTCACCTCGGTTTTTGGCCTTGTTACGCTCCTTGGAGAACTCACCGGACAACACACCGAGAATCAGATTCATCACGAAGAAGGCACCCAGGATAACCATGGAAATGAAGTACATCCATTGCCAATCGCTGCCCATTGCATCTTGGATCTGAAGAATACGTTTTCGTTAGTTTATGGCTATGGCTACAAATACTTTGATTTCTTGAGCATTATTGAAGTTATCTTGAAGTGTTTATTTTTTGGAAGCTCTCTATATCACTTACGTTGTAAAGGACATCAGTCCAGCCCTCAAGGGTGACGCACTGGAACACCGTCAACATGGCCAGGCCAAAGTTGTCGAAGTTGGTGATGCCGTCGTTTGGTCCATCCCATCCGCCGTAGCACTTAAAACCCGGCGGACACTGGTAACCCACTCCGCAGGGCCGTTCGGTTTCCTCGAATTCACCTATAATCCGGTTTGTTGGATTTGGTTTGGTTTAGGGTTTATGCATTAGTAATGTGGTGAAATGGAATCGAATGAGGTGATATCTCTGAGAAATCTGTTGTGTTCAGTGAGGTGCCACATAGGTTTTCTTGTTTGTGCAGTGTCGTTTGCGGAATATGCCGCATCTTTGGCATAATTGACTTGTCCCATGCAAGTTATACATTTTGTAGGCTTATTGACTAGCAGATTAGCCGGAGATCGAGGCAATTTCTTACTCGTTCGCATTTCGGTCTAGTAAGAGCCTGCGATTTCCACGCTCTAATCTACTAGTGATAGAACCACTAGTGGACGCTGATTTTGAAATGCGACATATCTGGTGGCATTCAAGACATTTGAATGATATTCGTACAACGTATAAAAATTGTACGATTCGGTTATGGGATCTCCGCTTACCTGTGATCTCATCGCGACACGCCTTGTGCAATTTGCCAGAGAAGAGCTCTAGGCCAATGATCGCATAGATTATGATTACGAATAGGACCAGGAGTGCAATGTGAAACAGTGGCACCATGGCCTTTAAAATTGAATTCAGCACAACCTGTAGACCTGTTGAATAGCGTTATGTATTGCCAATATTGGATTGGGTTATTAGCTTGGTGGGCGGGCAAGTATCTAGTGCGTACAATCAAAGTTAGGCAGAAAATACTTCACAGAAATACTAGTAGATATGATAAGTCAAATTCAACATGTTAACAGTATGATTCTCCTTTCTATCGGACAAAGGACATGTTTTCAACTACTATATAACGTAATATTTGGACAGTTTGCTTAATTTTATACTGTGCAGTATTTTAACTACGAATCCATCCGTAGTTCCTAGAATTCCGCTCCACCAAGCCAGGGGACTTAGGGATCTTTCTTTAGAGTAGGTTCGATGGTGCAATGAAGCCCTTACTTGGTACACCCGATACAAGTCGCAGTGGACGTAGCACTCGAAAGGCACGTAGGGCCTTCACATCAAAGGCGTCCTTCATCAGTTGGGAGAGTGCAGTACTTATTGCCCTGGAAAAATGTATGGCATACAAAGTTCATACGTGTGTCTCAGTCTGGACATTATTCATTTCGTTAATTTGATTTCTGTTCTTTTCGTTTTACGATTTTCTTTTCTGATTCGGTCAATTTCGATTGAATTGCATATAAGGTAACATAGAAAATGGTTAAAACGAGGCCGCAGCGGGCCTGGGCGCTAAGCGCTTTTAACTGGTATATTTTATATGCTTACCCTATAACTACAATTGTAAAATCTAATAAATTCCATCCATTTCTTAGATATGCACCATTATGTAACACAAAACCATATGCTAAAATTTTCATAACACATTCCGCTGTGAATATAACTAGGAATACATATTCAACTTTTTCCTGTTATTCGGTGTTGGTTTTCATATCGTTTGATTTGTTTTGGAGTGCATGTATTTATGTTTGTATTTGGGATTCGGTTTGATTTCAAGGATCGTTTCGTTGGTGGATTTGTGGGTTTATGGCATGAGTGAATCGGATGAACGTAAGAGATATACATGAAAGAAATTCATAATCATTAGTAGGCCATGATAGAATTCGTACAATAACAGAATACCCAGCGCCATGGGTAGCACTTACCAAGGTTTGATTCGTCACGTTTGAATCGCTTCCCGGATAAGGGGTGTAAACAGCCAAGGCAATACAGTTGGCAAAAATGGTTAACAAAATAAGGAACTCAAATGGTCTAGAAGGGTGAAGGCGTTAAGGATAACCAGATTAGGATTTTCCTCACTGTTTTAACAATGAATTGTCATAGAAATATATTGCACCTAGAGGAGGTATTATTTTGGATGATTGGGGTTCTAATGAAAAGGATACTTCCACTCCACGATGCGAATGCACAAGGCTCGCAGGGGATTCTTGACGCTCAGGCAAAATAATGCTCGTTGTGGTCTGTCTGGTTGCGGTTTTCCCCTGCGCTGTTGTCTCTTTTGACCGGCGGCACCTGCAGCAGCACCAGCTTTTTGGCCACCAGCTCCACTTGGTCCAATTGTGGTGCCGTTCATGGTTTCCGGAATGTTTGCAATGCCCATCGAATCGATGCCTTAAAGGTAATATAGAATTTATTATAAGCACTCAAAAGAATGTCAAAGTACTTACCCATGATATTGTTGCCGCCGCCCAGATCCCCCTCACCGGAATCGTATCTGGCCGTCCGGGAAACATCACCGCTGCCGGGACCGCCGTTGCCGTTCGGCGAGAAGCCTCCACCGCCGGAGGCTCCACGCTCAAAGTCCATAATGTTGAAGAACTTGCCCGCACCGCCACCAAAATTATCGATTAGCTCCGCGGAACTGGAGTAGAATGGCGAAAAGGCCTGGGTGTCGTCCTCCTCCTCCTCAAAGTACTCGTCGACGTCCTCGTCGTCGTCCTCCTCTTCCTCGTCAGCGGAATCACCTTGGTGCTGCTGCTGTTCCTGCTCATCAATGTCAATGGTGGTGCCCTCGGGCTCCTCGTCGTCTAGCTCCTGATCCTCCCGATCAAAATCACCGTATTCCGCGTTCTCGTCGTCGTCGTCCTCCTCGGTTATCCTGCATGTCCTTCTGATCGAGGGCCGATTCCTCGAGTTCTTTCTCACAACAACGTCGGCGTTGTCGTCCACCTCACCAACGTCTTCGAGAGAGTCGTTGTTGCCACCGCAGCTATCCTGAATGATGCGGACGTCCTCATCGGCATCCTGGCGCCGTTCGCTGAAGCTCTCGCAATCGGCGAGCGATTGCTCCTGGGCCTGTTCCTTGGCTGCAGCCGCAACTGCCGCTACAATGGCCGCTGTGCGCAGGGTTTGCGAGCTGAGATCCTGGTTATTTGGATCGCCGTCGTCGTCCTCGCTATTGTCGTCACAATCGGCGATGAAACTGCAAACGTCGCCGACGCCAAAACCATGCAATGTACTGTTATCACCGGTGATATCGCAGTTGCAACTATTGCTGCTGCTGCTGTCGCCACCGACGGCACTATAGCTACTATTATCGTCGCGTCCGCCGCCGCTGCTGAAACTACTGTTTGTGCTGCCGGCACTGGTGACACTGTTCTGCGGCTGCAGCTGCCACGCCTCCTCGGGCGTTAGTCTTGGGGGCGGGGCACTGATGCCACCTCCGCCGCAGGATGTGCAACTGGACTTGCGGCGCTTGGCGCTGGAGCTGGAGGGTCCTGCTGCTCCGGGACTTGTTGCCGTTCCTGTTGCAACACCGGTTAGAGATCCCGACTCACTGCCTCCGTTGTTGCTTTTGTGACGCCGTTGCTTGAAGTCTAGCTTGTAGGTGGCGTTGTTCACAATCTGACTGGTGACGTTGCTGAGGGCGAGCTCGGTGCTGGTGGGTCGCCTCCTGGTCCCGCCGGCCTGGTTGGGATCCTCGGGCGGATCAAGTGTACTGCAGCTGTCGGGCACGGGGCAAAATGCATTCAATTAATGTGTTATCTTAATCAAAAATTCGATTTGCACTTGCCATCAACCATTTATTCTACAGGATGGGGTGTGGCAAAGTAATGTACATTTCCGGAGTTAAATTTCCTCAATTTTAAGCTTAAATTAATTGGCCCTTAAAATAGCACTTTTCCAGTTAGCTTTAAAGTGTTCCATTTTCAGCATTCATATGATGCTTCTAGCCTTTTTGCCCTATTCTATATTTCTTTCACAATGTCACTCCGTAGTTAATGTCACTCCGTAGTTAAGAATATGGTTTAAATAAGAATGCAAAGTTTTTTACCCCTTACGTATTTAAAAATTTAACGAGCAAAGATGAACAAAATTTCCTTACACATGCTTTGTTGTAAATAGAGTAAATAGAGTAGACATGATAAACTGCAATAGCTTATGGAATTTTCACAATAAGCAAACCGAATTTGCTTGGGTTTTATGACCCACATGTTTATCTAATTTTGACCAAACCTGGCAGAATAATTTAAGGCGTCATAAATTAACACCCATATGTATGCAAATGATGTAAATTATTCTAAACAATAACAGCAATATTATTAAATTGTAGCTTAATCGGTGTTGTATTTTTGCATTGAGCTCAGAACAAGAATGTTAAAACCCAACTGAACTAAAGTCCCTAATGTGGGTTTCAAATGGCACATTGAATACTTGGCATGCGATTTCAGACATATGAGACACACAATAAGACGACGACAAGGGACAACATTGAGTCACGATAGGAGTACGATAGTTAATTGTGGGGTCTGGTTCCGACTTACTATGCCCCAGAACGCCTAGATTGTTCCATGTAATCAAACTCTTGCATTGCATGGAAAATGTATTTCTTTTCGTTCTCCAGCTGGAGTTGTATGTACCTTTGTTGCAGCACCGTGCCCGAGGCAGTTCCCAGTCCGGCTCCCAAGCCCAATCCCAATCCCGATCCCGTGGGCGAGGATCCAGCCGATGCCGATGTGGTTAGTGGGTTAGCTGGAACCGGCAGCGTTATCGTCGGCGATCGATGCTGATGATGGTGTTCCGGCTTGACAATGACCACTTCCAAATCACTTTTCGCCGATGACTTGCGGTTGTACTTGCGACTGCCACGCGTCGGCGTTTCGGCCTTCAGATAGCGCCGGCTGGTGGACGGGGAGGAGGGCGAGGGCTTCCTCTCGATGACCAGGGTGTTGTCATCGTAAGCAATACAGTTCACCAGCTCCCCGCCACCCTTTACAGTGTTCGTGGTGGTGGTGGAGGCGGAGGTCGAGGTTGAGGTCGAGGTCGAGGCTTCCCGCTCTCGCTCCCGCCCCCGCTCCCGCTCCCGCTCCCGTTCTCGATCCCCATCTCCACGGTCATAAAGTTTGGCCTCCTTTTGTCGCTGGAATTGCAATTGCCGGCGACGTTGCGATGAGGAGGTGGCTCCACTTCGCGAAACAATGCTCGACTCGATTGATTTTTTCTGACTTTTCGAGGCACATGATTCATCGACGATGACAACACTGGCCGGCAATAAATCTCTGCCCGTCTCCCAGTTCTTATCGCTAGTGGTATCCTTATCCTTATCGTTATTGTGTTTATGATTTAGTTTATTGTTAGCACTAGAACTATCCAAGGCATCGTGTCGGGTAATTGGTTGCTGTTGCTCTGGCTGCTGCGGCGATTGTTGCTGTTGCGGTGTTAACGAGGCTTGCTCCTTACGGTCTCCTTGCGGGATTATCAGTGGGTAATGGGTGGCACAACGGGCGGCGGAAATAGGTTATTAAAGTTAGTAGTCAAACTGTGAGGTATGGGGAGTCTTCGGAATTTGTGAGTGGCATAATAAAAATCCCCCATACTCTGTTATTTGGTTAGCTCATAAGGCGTACGAAATTATTCAATTACAAAAATTTCTTCTTCTTCTATATACATAATTACTAAATCAATTTTTTTAATGAAACATTTTTTTGAACGAAAAAAGCGATTGATAAAAATTACAAAAATATATGAAGAGCAAAAATATTTTTTATTCACATGTGTTAAAAAGTAATTTCGTATACTATTAAAATACCTTTTTCAATGTAGTATTTCATTTAATGTTTCAATAGATAAAATAAACAGCTCCGCTTAAAAAATCCACTTTTTAAATAGTGGTATAATTAAAATTAAATTTATTAAATAAGGTATAAGGTATTAAAAAAAATGCACTATACCAAATACATATCGACCCTATTTCAAAAAATCATTATACTTGTAAGAAGTCCTTGTACCTGTATTCATATTTGAAGTTTCATTCGGACGCACAATATTTATTGCCTTTCCTTAAAAGTGCCTCTTTGTTGAGCGTTTTCCTTGCCAAAAGCCAAAAGCGAAACGCGAAACGCGGTCAATGCATCGCAGCAACAGGTGTGTTTGGTCTCAGCCGCCACACAGACATGCACAGTTTAATCACACTCACTTAAATACGCGAAGAGCTTTTTGTTTTGTGTTTAGAAAATGGGTTAATAGTTGTAGAAATTCGACGGTGGTGACTTGGAGTTTTTCTATTTTTTTTTGTATTTTTTGGTTTCTAGTTTGGACGAGCATACAGCGGAGGATTGTAAAAATTTGGCATTTGTTTGTTAGTCTGCAGTGAATTGTTAGTTTGAGGATTGTAGATCTAAAACAATATTTTGTTTTTGGAAACACTCAGGAGAGTTTTCAATTTCAGCCATTGCAATTACACCTAACCATAAAGTATGTATTTTAATACATCGAAAACACGTTTTCTCGCGGTTGGAAAACCCAAACCATTGAAAATATCTAGAAATTTCTCTAACCTTCCCCCAAATTAGTTTCCAGAACATATTTTCGGTAATCCCCGGCCACAAAGCACTTTATTGGATTTTGTTTAATTCCATTTGAGTGCACCGACAGCGCATTTTCATCGCCAGTGATAACTTATCGGCATTTCCTGGCATTACCTATATATAACCCACTTTTCCGAGGCATGTGAGAGGGAGAGAGCATCAAAACAAAAACACGCGCAATGTTTACATTTTCCTTTGTTGTCGCAACGACTTTTTGTGACCCAACTGTCAAATGGGCAGTCAACTTTGACTGAGAGAAAGCGACTTTCTCCCGTTTTCTCACCAACTGGCAAGCTCGTTTTGCAGCCGAGCTTTTGGCCTTTGCAGCAAGGAAAATATATGTTTTATTAAATTACCAAAAACGTATTATTACTGCTTTTGCGTTTGTATATTGTTACTAGTATTTCGCAAAACCAGGTAATCGTAATAACACACATTAATGCGCTTGAATGTCAGCTTGTCTGGCTTTTTGGGTAAATATCACACAACTCTGTAGACGGAAATGGGGTCAAGAGCGCGCATTTGGCAGTAAAAACTAATTTGCTCATGGTCTTTTGATGGCTCGCCTGGGAAATGATGTACGGATACTTTTTTTTGCCTGGCGGGCATATTAATTACGTTAAGTATTTCAGGTCTTCTAGGGTTTTTAGCTGCGTTCAGCGAGGTTCAAGCTGACCGATTGACCTACCCCCGCATATGTAATAGCCTCACACGCACACACCCCAGCTCACCACGGCACCAACACATGTGAAAGTGTGAAAAATTTCTAATGGCTCACTGCGAAGAAAGTGAAAGCAGCTTTCCCTTGTGTCCCTCTAATCTGATATTAGTTGCCCCTCTTCAAAAATCAACATTGCACTTTACAATTTCGGTGTTATTGCCTTGGTTCGTTTGATTTTCCTGGCTTTTCAGTGTTGTATTTTATTGTATTTTTCACACGCGACCATCAGCAACGCGAACAAGTTTAAGGAATCAGCCACAAAAGCACACTGTGCAGGAAAAACCAGCTTTTCGCAGTGGCAGCCGTGAAAATGTTGATGTTAGCCCAAGAAAAGCTTAGGATGTGGCGCTTGCTTATCTGCTGATGAAAGGTTCTAAAATTGGGAAAAGCCTGCTTTTGTGTACTAAGGCATTCCAAATGTTCGTAAGTTGTTCTAGAAACGGTATGCAATCAGTCATATAAAATATAAAATTTATTAAACCACTTTCCATTCACTAATTTACTTTTGAAACCTATTGAATCGCGCACGAGTTATGAATAATATGAATAACATTACTATTTACTATTTTAGAAGTTCATTCTGGCCATAAGATTCATTTAGGTAATTAATAAATCGAAACATGAAAATGGAAAATAGGAAATCCCAGAGTTATTGTTCCACGCTAAACTTGTGTTTACAAACAAACCGAATTCGGAACGTGAATGTCGATAAATGAAGGCGAGATCCAAACATTTATGCTAGCCTATTTTTGTTTTTTTTTTCTCAGCCTGTGCTCTTTCTATAGATATTTTAAGCATAAGCAATATCAACTTTTATGAATAGATCGAGAGTTTTCTGGCATTGCGTATCTTTATCCCGCTTGCACTCACATTTGTTGTCAATCAGCTGTTGTTGGTGAACGCATGCGCAGATGAAAATGTTTGACAGTTGGCGAGAGACCAAAAAAATGTCGAGAGAAAATATTGAAAATGACCATTTTCGCTGAAATTTGTTTTTCTTTTGCGGGTGAACTTCACTTACACAGCGGGCTGTCTGAGTCACCGAGAAAATCTTTCTGACGCTTGCCCATATATCATAACTTATAATCATTGGTTTCCACATGGGTGTGTTCCCCGGCAAGATATATGTACAATTTGGCTAATGACATATTTCCGGCTGAAAGAGGCTACTTGATTTGTTGACTTCTTAGAGCGTTCCATGAAAATAAATGTTCGCAACTTGTTTTTTTAAGTTAACAGATGTCATCTAACCCATCTGTTGTGATTATCTGTGCTCTCTATGCGTTTTATAGGTATATACACCCATAATATCTGATCACCATTAAATGATTTGTTTATCTCTTCCCGCTATTTTTATGAGTTTGTGTGTGATTATTTATTTTTGGGTTTATCAACAATTAAATGACCTGGAATTTCTAAAATGCTTTGATTCCATTGACTTTTATTGGAATATAAATTGCAAAAATAATACTGCTTAATTTCATTTCAAACTTTAAACTTTATTATTATTATTATTTTGAATAAGTTTTTAGTGAAGGTCTGAACATTTCAATGTGCCTTCCCTAAACAGAGGCATCCATTATTTTTGACTATAAAACTGAATTATGCCGCCTCAAAAAGAAATTAGTTTTCATCGTGTCCAATGAGAAATGTGCGGGAAATATTTTTTAAAACAACAGAAATACGTCAGAGGGTGAGGGGGTTGGGGGTACAGTGTACGATCGGCATTTCGTCGGTCAATTTCTATGGGCCAGAACAGAAGACTATTTCGCCGGTCTAAAATTAGACCAAGCACACGTAGTTGGATCTGTCGATGCGGCAGTGTTGTTAGTGCTCCTGTTGCCACTATTGTAGCCCCCAAATTTAAAACAGAAACAACAAAAGCGATCCGCAGGCAGCGAAATTAAATTCAGCCTAATTGTATAGCCTTTACTTAAATCAAATTGCATGGTTTATTGAAATATGCAATGCTGTTGCCTGAAAACACCACATGGAACACTTTAAAGGCTATCTTTAGACTGCTAAATCGATGCATATATACATACATATATATAGAGATATATATATACTTATATATGTACATAGTATATACTTAATCTAGTTAATTGCAGGGGCTGCTTGTTGAACATTTCACTTACATGCTGATCCCTCGGCGATTCCCTCGCGTGGCAACAATAAAAGCACGCTCCGATTTTTATTTGTTGAGGGGCAGCCGTGCGTTCGAAAATCCGAGCCAAAAATCCAACGGCAGCATACGTGGCGTTAATATTTTTAAACTTTTTGGGAGATATCTTTTCGTTTGCTTAGTACATGTCTTTCGTTGGGCTTGGAAACCAGCTATACCAGCTATCTCAATCCCTTAAAACAATTAATGCTTACTACTTTTACTGCCCTGTTGAATGGGAAACATTTTGAAAAACTTATTCACTTATATCATGTGTATTTTTATATACAGCTGCTAAAAGTGTGCCAGCTCAACATATAATATAAATTTATCTCACACACTATACATATATTTTTGATATATATGTATATTTGCACATTAAACTCGTTAACCGATTTGAAACCACATATTCCACTTCATCAAATCCCTCATTATTATCGTATTATCAATGAAAAATACCAGGAAACCACTAAGAATTGAAAATTTTGTTCACCCGCACAGAAAAGTATTTTCTGCGTGCAGCTTAAAAATAAATCTGAACACACACGGTCGCTGGCGCGGAGAACCGAACCAAACCAATTCACGCCAACGATCAGCCGAGAACTGTCAGATTGGTGAGATCTTCAATACTCCCTAGCTGGTTGGTGAAATTTTCAGTATTTAGGCAATTTTAGGATATTTGTGAATTTCGATACACAAAAATATCGAATATTTAACAGGGAATACAGATTTGTGGAAAACTTTGATTGTGTGGCTATAAGTCTAGATATTTGGTTAATCAGCTTTAAAGAAGTTGAGCAAAAGAAATATATATTATATAATTAGTTAATTCAAATAATTAATTTTATTTACCCATAAACAAAAACAATTTTTACACAATATTACAATTATTTAGAAAAAGTATATTAGAAAGTAATGCAAATTCTTTGCATAATTGCAATTATGTTTTTAAGGGGCTAAATGGCATTTTGTAACTTCCTTGCAAAACGTGTACAAAAGTTGTTTAATTACACACCACTGGGAAAAACAACGCTACAAAACCTAAATTACAGGAATCATAAGCAGGCTCACCAGCCCCAATTCAAATGTAAAACAAAAATTATACCTAAATACATATACTGTATGATTTTGGCGGTAGAGCCCCGGAGGCAAGAGCAACTTTTGTTTGCCTGTTCGTTCGGCACACGTAGCATATTTACAGGAGCCCAACTTGGAAGCAGAACTGCGCCAACAGGAACAGGAAGATCCGTTCCGATTATCCTTATGCTATGGATATGGATGGGAGGATGTGAGAACACATTCCTCTTGGCTACTGCTGGCATTAACACAATTACAGATGTATGTGTTTAAATGCAGATAATTAGGGGCAAACTGAGAGAAAATCGTATTATTATCCCGCATTATAATTTTATTTTTATATATGTATATAAATTACAGCCTAAGGAGAAGATGTTAAGATGTTAATTAAGATACTTAGAATGCTATTTATATAGTTTATTTATATGATTACGTTTGAAATATTTTACATAGTTTTTAAAAGTAACACATCAATAAAATTGTGTAAGTTCTGCATTAGTGCCTAATTTTATTTTGGAATATTTTTTAGTACATTCTATTACAAGTCACCTGAGGACTTGTAGTTTCTCGTGTAAGTTCTTTAAAAAATATCGGCAACCAAATATGCAAATGAATATGTTTTCGAGTATTTCGCATCCACTGAGTTCACGATGCTCATTGGTTCAACGTTGCGTATGCCCGTTATTAACTTGTATGGCTAATTAAAAGTTTTTTACAGCTTGTTATCAGGTTTTTTTCACCAACAGAAACATATTCAAAAATTTTTCATTGCTTTCGCCGGAACCACAGACACTCTCTCACTCGCAATTGGTAAGATAATTGCATTAAAATAACTGAGAGAGATTCTCGGAGTGGCTCGTCCTCGAGGACTTCATTATAAGTTGCCATCTGTGGCAGCAAAAACCCAACCAAGCAAGTAAACTGGGCAACTATATTTCCTATCTCTTACTGCAGGACGAGCCAGGAAAGCAACAAAATGTTAAAGTTGATAATTTTCTGGACATTTTAACTGTAAAGTGACATTTCATACTTTGCGACCTCTCTGGTTTTCGGGGCTCCTCTTTGGGGGCGGTTGGGGGAACAATATACATAAATGTTACTGCAGCAAGGACGCCAACTCGCAGGACATTCGATAAAGTTGCGCAGAAGTCAAATCTCAAAGGAAATTAATTTGTGTTGCAATGTGAAAATGGTACTGAAAATTAGGTTTTTACTGTGTTTTTTTTCATATTAATGCAAAACACTCAAAACTTTAGTGTCTGTGGAACTAAAAGTGTCAGAGAAGTTTATCTTATTTAACATAGTTAACAAACGTCAATCGAATTTTGATGTTATTTGCCATAATTCAATTTCCACTAAATCTTTAGATAATATATATTAGTATAAGGGTATACTACATTCTTTCCTTCTGTCTGTCCGTCCGTATAAAAGTCAGGATCTAGGGAACTATAAAAGCTAGAAAGTTGAGTTTATTTTATTATTTTTATAACCAAATTTTATCTAGCCGGTAAAATGATGACAAAAAAACTATGACAAACGGGTATCTGATAATCGTATGTTGTTTTTTGTATTTTAACACTTTATTCGACAGTAATTAAAACCATTTTCAACAGACTTTTATTTGTTGTACTGATCCGTTTTCATATCGTTTCATATTTACACGAAATATTTACATTTATGTCCCTTAATATTCTTTTGATGGAAACATAAAAAAAGAGTGAAAGAAGATATTAAGAAAAGAACAAAAACAAACAAAAAATGTTACACGGCGGATGTTGTGAATTCCATTTTTCTCGAAATGAATATAAAAAGCGACTGCAGTGCAGACAGAGAAAGTTGGACCGCGCAGACAAATATGTCGATTTTACTCAGACAGGCAATAGCCCTCAGCCCTTTAATCTCCCAAAAGTTATAAAATACGAGGGTATATGTTTTTAAGAGATTGCTTCGAGGATAATATTGGTTATGGAACTAGTTAAATGTGTTATAATCCTAAGACTAATATAATCCTAGTCTGCAAGCCCTTTCTG